TCAACCTTCTGAAAACATGTAGGGACTTTGGGTCTTCTTGGGTGCGAATCAGCCTCCAGACTTAGAAACACTGATTAACAATGAGCTTGCTGAAGGTTCTTAATAACAAAATTACAAATACCATAGCTAATTGTAAGTATATTGCTTTTATTCCTGATTTTTTAAGGGGGAAAAATACTTTTTATGGGGAAAAGTAACTCAGTCAAAGCACCTTCTGTGATTAGCGCTATTGTATTCTTAAATTTTGATTGATAGAGATAATAGTTTTCACTTAAAAATACAGACAGGTACTTTAACTTTCCATGACAATAGCTATTTGCATTTCTTTTATCTTTTTGTTTAACATCTGTGGGGGTTGGGACGGATTTGATTATTAACTCTTATTGCACACTGAGGTAAAAGCTAAAACAAAGCTTTTGTTAAAACTTCAAAGGTAAAACAGCAAATATTGTTTGTAGGTTTCAACATTTAAAGACTGTTAAAGGATACCTATAAAATATTTCCACATGACCATGACCAGGGCTTTTACTTCTTTGTAAGGTAAGAGAAAGTCGGTTTTCCAAACAAGATGGGCACACTTGGAGTGGCTGGTTCCCTGCCAGATTGGAGGCTTTTCATGTGAAAATGGTTAGGCTGTTGCGGGCGGCTGCATCACACGAGACTGATTTTATTTAGGTGATCCAGGATTTGGTGCTCTTCACGGGCAGCGACTGATCTGGGGGAGGTCCCAAGGGCAAGGAAAGGGAATCTGTATGTGAGCTGACCTGGGGGAAGCGAGAGGGAAATCGGAGCAGATGTATCAAAAGAAGTAGGTGCCTCTCTGATGGCGGAGATAAACACTTGGGGCAAAATGGGGCATGTGTCACCCCCCAAGCCTACATCTTGTCTAAAGTCTGTCAGCTTGCCACCTTGCACAAATGTGAGCCCTAGAACTAGCTGAGAGGACCTCGATGTCTTTGTCAGGAAAGCTCACCTTAGTGAATTACTGGGGGTGTGTGGAGGTATTCTCCTTAGAACCCTTTGGGGCTTGTCTGGGGTTTTTCTTGGTGGGAGGGGGAGTAGGTGAAGTAGAGTTTCTTGTCTGAGTGCTGGGGAGCTGTGATCTAACCTTGGGCTGCAACTTCTCAGGATGCATAGTAAATTGTTAGATGTTCTTATCTTTTAAAAAATCTTTGAAAAACAAGAAAAGTGAAATCCACAAAACAGTTTAAGATTGATGTTAACTAAAGCATAGGTCCTATTTAAAGAGACCCCAGTCCTTGAAAGTTAGTTTATTCTGGTTCTCCCTTCTTGGTCTTCTTAAAGGAAAATCATTCCATGCTACAGGACATCTGGAGGACACACATAGTTCTTCTAAGGGAATAAGCAGCCCATCCCTGAAAACCATAAGACTTATAACCAGGGTTTAAATCCTGAATTAAACATGAAGTTGGCAAAAGACTGAAATCTATTTATCTTCATTCAGATCACTTGTTGAGATGTAGACTTACAACTCCATGTATGAAGTCAAGCAGCCCTGGTTCTGTTGTTAGATTTGTTCACACAATAGAAGTGAAAATTGTTGTTATTTTTATTAGAGCAATAGTGTATAGAGTGTCCATCTTTCCTTATATAATGGAGATCACTGCCTTCCATATTTACCTGTGCCTCTTTCCAGATAGTTGGCAAAGCCTTTGGGGTAATACACAGCTTAAAATAATTTCAAAAGGATTATTTGAAAAAAAAAATAATTGTTAATGTGATAGCAACAGTAAACTGGCTATCTGTGTTGTGAATTTCCTTGGGGTGATGGGAGCTCTATTCCCATGCATTCATTGACATGCATGTCTGGACTAGTGCCCTCTTGCCTCCAGCTGATAGTCTAGGGTTTGAAGAAAGGTTTTACATGTCAACATCATTGTCCATAGTATTACCTTAGGTGAAGAATATTGCAAGATGCTGAAAAGACCTTTGGACTATTGCCTAGAATAAAATAAAATCTTATAAGTTGATGTCATCATGCCCCTTCCTCTTGTTTTAAAATAATAAAAAAAAAGAGTAAAACTTCTTATACTTCTGTATGAAGATAACTTTAGTTTCACACAGCTGCATTTTCCAAGAACACTGACAAGACAGGTGGATTGGAAAAAATTAATCTTTATTATTTCATTTATTGTTTCTCTTTTCCTAAAAGCTCTTAATGATCATTTTAATTCAGTTCTGATATTTTAGCGCTGCCAGTAAAGCAACCAAGTCAGTATTTGAAATGGAAAATGTTCAGTGTGCTTTATTGAGAGAAAAGCAAGTTTATAAAAATAAAGTTGTAACTAAAATTCTGAAACTAATGTCTTAATGCTTCAAAATTGATGGAATGGAATTATTTCTAGTTTGAGATTTCAGATTCTGTTGGCAAGAGTCTTCTTGTCCGTGGCAGGCTTATGGTCCATCCCTATTTCTTTATTTTCTTGTCTATTCTGTTGACACACTGGTTAGTTTAGTGTGGTAGCAAACAACTGGTGAACTATTAATCTTGCCTTTACAATGCTAACAAATATCCTCCAAGTTAATTTGCCAACACGCGCGCACAACTTAATTTTTTGAGAATATACAATAGGGAGGGGGATCATGGGGATAATTTCGAGGTTTATTTTAGCATGTCTATAGATACAGGCTTCATTTAGACACATACTGAAATACTTGTACATGTTAAAATAATGAAGTCAAAAATAAAAATAAAAAAAACGTGGTGTACACAGGACACTCAAGTTTCACCAGGTGAACTTAGAGAAAAATATAGTTTATCTTGCTTGAAGATAAGTATAAAATAAAGGGTGTTTATTTACCATACAATCTATATTTTATGATTACTTTTCAAATAACTACCACACTGATGAAATGAATTAAGGGGGGACGAATATATTTGTGTTTAGGCCATGTTCTTGTCCTTACGTTTACTTACTTGCTGTAAAGGCAAAAAGACAAATGGGCCTAGTAGCTGACAGAAATTGGTCCTACAGGTTTGCAAGCAGTACTAGAGATAATGTTATTCAAAGTAGGCATTTTCAGCAGTTTTTAAAAAATTAAATTTTAATATTGTCCACTTGTTTCCCAGTTCTGTGTGATAGCAAACCTTATCTGAATTGCAAAACACAATACCACAGGTTTGACTGCCAAACATGCAAAAATAGACATAGCTCAATAGATAAACAGGAAAATTAGTTTAACGTGCACGTATGGGATAGCATCTCAAATAGCAAAGGTGGAGGAGGGGAGACCTTTATTGCTTTGTATTTAATAGAACATGCCAAAAGTTCAATTACTTGAAGAGTTGATGAAAGGTTTAGGTAAAACTTCTTGTGTATATATTTATTATAACTTGTTTGTGAATACCACTGAGCTCTTAAGTTATTGGCAGTAATGGCTTTACAGTTCCATCCTATACATTGTATATGAAAAAAAAAAAGAAGAGAAAAGAGAAGAAAAACTGCAGAATGTAGCCATTCCTTAATGTTTTCATTCCTAATCATCATTAGTCCCATATGAGGGAATTTTTACCAATGGGTGAAGAAATCATAGTGGCATAGTTCAGCAAAAAAGAACCACAATTTTCATTTTTGCTTTGAATCTTTTTTGTACAAAAGCAAAAAGCCTTTTCACAGGTTGCAAAATAATAATATATGACACAAAGCTGGGGTTTTCCCCCACCTAAATGGTGAACTGTTAGGGCAAAACCCTCTAGTTTCCTCCTACAGTAAACATGAAAATTATGATTTCACTCAGAGGGTAATTTTTTTTTTCCTTCCAGTTTTAATGGCAAGAATCTGCACTTGCTTGTGAAAATGTCAAAAATTGGCCTTGGATCAATTTCTCAAAAATAGTACACACCAAAGAAACTCTTTTTTCTTTTTCTTTTCTTTTTGGTCCTCATGAAGCAAAATATAATTCTTTCTCATGTTGGTTTTCTTTCCACATTCAGGGAAGATAGCAGAGACAAACCAGATCCTGGAGTATTCTTCATGAAATTAAAGCTACTTCATTAATATTGATCTGAACTGTATGTAACAGGATATTAACATTTTAGTAAAATGATGTTATAATTTCACGATCTTATAATAAAATACATGAGCATTTGGTCAATTGGTGTGGAATTAATCTTGAACCCTGCTAGTAATCTGAGTTAGTAACTTGATCTAAATTAATAAACAAATGTTTTTCTTTTCCCTTGTACCATATGTTGATCCCAATTACATGGACAGAAAGTGGCAGATTGTCATGTTTCTTAAAGGATTACATACTGTTTTGCATAAGAGAGTACACAAGATGCAGCCATATATGTGGGGAGAAAACATGTTCTATTCTTTGTGTTTCATAAGGATTTATTTCATTTGCTGTTAACCATTTTTATTTATCTTAATAGAGTGCGGTGAAGTTTAAAAAATGGTCTGTGAACAACTTCAAAAGGAAATTCCTTCCTCTACCCTCCTCCCAAATGAAAACTGTGGTTTTTGATTCATTCTGAAAGGGCTAGAATAGCATAAGGTATCTTGTCTATAATAACTGATTCTCTTTGGGAGAAAAAAAAAAGACAGGCCTTTAATGAAATTAGGGTGACTGTAAAACATTAACTAGACACATTCAAGGAGCAGTCTGGTTTCCAAAAACAAAGCATTATGAGTCATATGTAATTCAACATGAAAATAAATTAATCCATGTCAAAACTAAGGACATTTAGGAGAGAATAAGAATGTTTCATCTTTGCTTTTTCCAACAAAGTTTTTCTTGTGAACTTGAAGAAACCAACAATAACCGCTGGACTGATCAGTTACTTTCTCGTGACTTGGTTTTTTTTTTTTTTTTTTTTTTGGTTGATCCAGTATGTCGTTCACCATTAAATGTTTAGCAGTTCTTTGTTGATTTGCCTATGCTTATTCCTTCCAAGCCCTGTCCAACAATAAACCATCATCATTTGTTGCTAATACTACTGACATTCACATTGTGATGTTGTTCTCTTTTGACTTCAGGGTAAGAAGTGGCCTTCTGGGGTGGCTGTAACTGAAGATTGCTTTACAGTAACCTAAAAAGGTAAATACATTTAGTCAAAATCTATTTAAATCTATGAATACACATGCATACATATGTGTGGGTGTGTAAGGCTGTACCTTGCAAGACTGTATCTTGGAAGCATTTTAATTGGATTGTTTTTCTCTCCATATATATTTATAAAATACATATACATATATTTTTTTATTTTATATATTTTAATCATAGCATATATTTTGGAGCCCTCAGGAAGAAGAATTGGTCATGAGTGATGGCTCCCAGAATCATTTTTTCTCTTTAAGCAGTCTAGCACTTTTACCATCTGAGTTGAATGTTAACTTTTTGTTATTGTTGACTCTTGTAGGTTTAAAGTTAGAAAGGAATATTAACATCACAAAAGGTGGTGATTCATAAAACTAACTTGCTGCAAACCAGAGTAACTCATGTCAATGTCTATACTGAAGTGGTGTCATCGAATTGATGTTCATCTGGCTGCTTTATAATCACCTTCTTTCAGAAATTAGTAGTCAGTTAAGCACCCTAGCAACAAGCAACACTGATGTAAATGCTGAACAGCGACTGGCAGATAGATCGCTGTGATGTCAGTGCTCATTAGTGTTGTTCTTTTGACCTTGCTGGAAAGTAAAATGATTATTTGATTTTAAATTTAGAAATTTTCAGAGCGACTGATACAGCTTGATTTATTAGGGCTAAATTTAATTTTCTTGAGTCTACTTTTAGAGGAAAAAAATGCATTCTCATTAAAATGCATCTGTGGACAATATGTTTTTAGCTCCTTGATGCCAAAAATATCTGTCTAGGAAGGGCAGGACTCTTCTTATTCTAATTAATACTGCAGTCCACTTCAATGTCCAAGGTTGATCTCTCCAGCTTTATTGTTGCATTCACTTGGATTTTGGACTACCCTTTTAATTTTCTCTTTTGATATGATAGATTTTTGCCTAACGGATTGAAGAGTTTATTTTCTAGTCTATCCGTCCATATTGTCATTTAACAATGGTGTGTGTGTGTATGTGTAAATGTTCTTAAATTAAAGCCCACAACATATAAAGTAGGCATCATTATGTTTGTGAGTTTATGAAATGAGCAGGAAGAACTTTGCTAAATTAATGAAAATGTTCTTCTCTGGGCCTTGTGACAACTGCCTTGTGACCTGTTCCTAGGCCCCAGGGTGGGTGTTGTTGTTTCTGTTTTTGCTGTTGCTTTTTACTGTTTTTTTTTTTTTTGTTCTCTCTGTCTCTGTCTGTCTCTGTCTCACTCTCTCTCTGTCTCTGTCTCTCTTTCATAAAATTATGTATCAACAGTGTGGCCTAATGTGTACATTTATTCCAGTACATTTGATTTGGTCCTAAAGATATGAATTACTTTAAATTTCATTGGCTTTGTTGATCACATTGAATAGTTACTGGGTTTTTAAATTCCCTCTGTGTTGTTGTTAGTCTGTGTTTCAGGAGAAGGTTAGGATAAATATGAAGTGCCAAACAATGGATCACAAAATGAGAAATGTGCTGGATCAGCATACCACCAAATAATTGTTTTAAGTGATTGTTTTCTTCTTTTTTGCTGGGACTTGACTAGCTGGCCTTTTATCATGTTAAATAGATACAATCCCAGCCACAGACTGTTGTGCAAAGGACTTGATGTATTCATATATGACCTTCATCTTATAGCACTTTTAATTTGGTTCAATTCGGTGGTCCAACTATGAGCCTACCAAATGAAAGGAGAAAGTTAGCTTGGCATAATGGATAGAGAATTAGGACACATCCTCTGACCTAGACTGGCCAGGTGACCATGGGCCAATCACAATCTCCCAATGCTGTAGGAAACTTTTAAGACAGGTTCTGAGCTTTTTTTTTTTTTTTTAAATTTCATGGAACTCTTTGGTAATTGAATGAAGGCTATGGACCCCTTCTCAGAAGATTTTTTAAAAATGTATAAAACAAAATAAATAGGATTAAAAGGATACTAATTATGTTGAAATACAGTAATCAAACATTTCAAAGAAAAGACAGGTTCACAGACTCCAGGTTTAAGACCCCCAGTACTAAGATTCTAAGTTGCCCAAGACTTAACGAATTTTCATTGAAGGAGGGAGTTTCTTCACGTGCAAATCACAGATGTCAACAACAACAACAGCAAAAATGTATTGAGTGCCATTCCTACATAGCTTATGGAAATATTCCAGAAAAATGACATATATGAACAAGTGATGATTCTTCAGTTATTTTGTGAGAAAGTATACCACTTATACCTGGGCAAAATTGAGAGCTTTTGAGGGTATAATGCCAATATTCCAGGCAAATTTTGGGGGAGGAAAAGAACTTTGGCAATTTGATTCAACAAACATTTGTTAGGTTCTTCCTCTGTACAAGGCACTGTAATAGACCTGGGAAGGCCAAGAGTGAAAGCCAGCGGTGTCCTCAGGGAACTTCTGTTTTCCTTGGAGCATAGTGTATTCACACTCTTACATAAATAAAATTTGAGTAGAATAAGGGCGGGAAGAATTGTGGAGTCAGAAAGTGCATACAGTTGTCTAATCACTTCCTGGAGCCCACATTAACTAATTACATTAGTGTTTATTACATGAGTTTGTACTTGATTGTGTAGTGTAGTTCAAGGGACATGCAATGCCCAGCCCAACCCATTCTCCTTGGCATCTCATGCCATTCTGTATGTAGTACAATCCTAGGGCACTTTATTCCTGAATATTTCTGATATTCCTGAATATCTTCATAACAGAACCCAAAAGGGAGGCATTTAAAAAAATGCATATGGGAAAGAAAACATGGAGAACTTAGGTCTAGAATAGTTGATATTTCAGGAGTTGAGTAAGCCCTGAGCAAAAAGGGCTTTTGTCATCCATCAAAGGTCAAGAAACTGGAGCTAACTGTCAGACCTTGAGAAGAAGTGGGTTTCAGATCCAAGAAACTTCTCAGAAAATATATTGCTCTGGATTTGAAATCTGGGAATCATTAGCAGTAAGTGTAGGTACAACAAAATGTGCTTAGGAAAGGTATGGGAGCAACTAGTTGTGTTCACAAAAGTTGCCAGGCAAATTTGGAAAACCAGATGAGGTCATTTTTCAAATTTAGACATAAAGGCCTGAATAGTTATAAATAACAGTGGATCATACTTGCTAGTGATATAACAATTTTCTTCCGAGGAGATCAGAGTACTTTATAAAATGTGTCTCCTTGACAGCCTTTCTGTGAGGTGGTTGGCATGTATTATTATCCCCACTTTACAGAACGGGAAAGTAGGCATACAGATGTTAAGTAACTTCTCCAAGGTCATGCACAGTATCAAGAGGAGTCGGCTTGGCCCTGTCTACAAATATATCTGTGCCATTGTGTAGCAGAAGCTTTTGTGTTGTGATTTAAGGCAACTATGTCAATAACATTTCATTATAGTTTTTCTTTTCTTTTCGTTTTTTTTTTTTGGTGGTTCTTTTTTTTTTCCCTTAGCACCTTGCATTATTAAAAATCTAATCCAACTTGCAAACTTCATCATTTTTTACTGTGAAAGAATATAACCAAAGAGTAACCTTAAAATTATTTTGAGTTCTTCTCAAATTTCACATTTTATGTTTTTGATAATTTTTTTTGGATTTTTACTTTCTAAATTTTTTAAAAGTCTTTTAAAAAATGGAATCAGCATATGCTGATTCTGCTAAATGATGCTAGTCTGTTAAGTTCTTTTTCCCTCTTTGTCTCTGTCTCTCTCATTCTCTCTCTCATTCTCTTTTAGTGTTTTTGTCAATAAACTTAGAGGAAATTTATTAGCTTGCATGTACATTCTATGCCTATGTTTTTGTGCAGGGCAAACATTTGGTTTTGTGTTAAATAAGCTTAATAGCCATTTAAAATATGGAGTTCTTTTGAAACAAAAGTATTTATGGAAATTAAATACTTTAAGAGAACAATCCTAAATCCAGTCTATTCATACTGATAACTTTGCAGCCGGTGGAATCATTATTATCCTAGAATGAATGAAAAAAAAAAAAAAAACAAACAAACTGGTTTATCTGTGAAAATGGAGACCCAAATGAAGAGTCAGGACAGAAAGTTGGTTAATTTTAGGTAAAGTCTAAAATGTGCTACTACCATTTTGCATTTTGAGAAATGATGAATGGGTCAGTCAATTCAGTGAAACATCTTATTTGAGTGAGTTGTTTTTCCCTGCTGAAGTGATTAGTTACTTGGCTCAATTGACCTAGTCAATTCGGTATTTTGTCACAGTGAACATCTTTACATTGAATTCACTTGGTATTTTGTTTTTTCCATCAGGTTCTGTTGTGTGATCACATAAGACATTTTGGTAAACCTTGTTTTTTATAACCTCAGAAGGACTGATTCCTGGGCCCCATGGAAGGGTGCCAGCATTTCACTGGTGGTTGAAGGTATAGGCAAGATGAGCCGTGAGAAAGATAATAGTAGCATTTTTTTTTTTGTTTTTTAGATATCTTTGTGCTTGGCACCCTAACAGTTAAACTTCAGTATTTAAATGTTTGCATTTTAAGTTAGCTGTTGTTAAACATTGTTAACCATAATGCTAAACTCAGTTACTCTGTAAACAAGAGCTGTCTCTCTTGAATGTTAGTTGCAAAAAAAAAAAAAAATGAATTAAAATATTGGTTTTCAGAGAAATATGCTCAATAGTGTTTTCAAGCAGAAGTCATTTGTTGAAATGTACATGAAGGCATATTTGGTAGTAAAGATAAATATTTGCTGCAATTATAAAGTAGCCATATTTTACACAGTGAACAATCAGCAATACCAAACCATATGACAAAAAGGGTTTTCGTGGTAAAAAGAAAAATGCTGGATATCTTTACTTTCCTTCCATCCATTGAAGTCAGATGTGTAAGCTTGCCCTTTCTGTACACGCTAGAGAAATTTACTAGATCCCAGATCGTGCACTTATGGGGTCCCTGGTAACAAGAATTATATGGAAAAATACGTTTTCTGTGACCAGGAAGTCAATGTCTTCCTCTGTGAACAATTCAATATCCATATCCT